CTCCTAGTCTTCGGTAAGATTTACCCACCGTCTTCCTATCGAATTTACGATTTAGAAACTGATCATACCTGCATATCCTGTTAAAAAAGTTCCATCATAGACACAGAGTTGTTCGCTATCCAATTCAGTCGAAAGTCCAGGTAGTTCATTAATCGGATCACGTTCGGGTCACCACTTTGTCATTCAATCCTACTGATGTTTAGATCTAACATTAAGCAGGCAAACACGAACAGTAACAAAAAAGAACTTTATTAGAAAAGGTTAGAACTGTCACAGACATCCTCGGGCAACACCCGGACAAAATCCAACGAACTTTCGCTCCTTTACTTTTTTTTGACGTTGCCAGCCACTCTTGTTGGCAAGTGTTGCCAGACAGAGTTCGTGATCTTGGCAAGTGTTGCCAGACAGTGTTCAGGATCTCTGGCGCTGGCGGCCACACATTCATTTGTATAAACATGTGTTGATTGCATTTTGCAATTTTCCTTCAAAGAGTGCAAGTGAGTGAAGAGCTTCTGGAACAAGCTAGATCCAATGAAGATTTCATGAAAAGCATCATCACTAGGGATAAGACATGAGTCTATGGATACAATGCAGAAACAAAATGTCAGTCATCAGAGTGGGTGGAAAAAATCTTTGCTGTGACCCAAAAAGGCACAACAAGTTCAGTTAGCATGAAAGAAAAACTCACTGAGTACAACGTTATTAACAGCTTTTTTATATTGCTAGTGCTTTCAATGAACCTATGATTGTCGTCTTCAGGCAAACGAAAATTCAAAAACAAACACAAATTCATTTGAATGTGAAGGTCTTGATCACTATTTTGTTCAATTCTGAAATTGTCATTCAGAATTGAATACTGCCTGAAGGTGATGTCTTTGTGAAGCAGTGAAGAAAAAATGACTGACTACTTTGGGAGAATGGCATGATGACAAATGCACACCCACCCACACATCACTGCTGATAACAGAATTTTTGGCCAAGAACTTGACACCACTTGTTTCCCAACTTCCATAATCAGCAGACTAAGCCCCAGCAGACATATTTTTGTTTCCCAAATTAAAGTCATTAAATTTTAAAAGCATTTATTTTTCTGCAAAACAGTTAAATTGCTTTTTTACTAACTTTATAAAGCTTTCATGACACAGTAAAAATTGGGTTTAGCAGACACCTGCACTTAGTGGATAAAACATACAGCCCCAGCATAGTAACAGGATTATCAATGTATTTTTTTCTTGATTTAGCAGAAACTATCTTTTACAGAAAACAGACAAAAATTTTATACTTTTCTCATTCTTCAAAATCTCTGTCAGAGGACAGTATAATTGATTACATGCTTTCCATGAATGTCAGTTAAGAAATATCATGCTTATCTTTAGTGTCATCATTTCATAAAATTTTTTTGTTCTTAAATTTGTCAAACAATGTTTTTATGGTTTTATGTTAGATACTCCTCTGACACTCTCCACTCAAACATTAGTAGATTGAAGATGGCATTTCTCCCTTGCATAGCTATATATACATTTAATATGTTAAATTAATTATTCAATATTAAAAGTTGTAGTTGTAGTTTTAAATTGCGTTTAATGAAACAAATCCATTTTTCATGTTTTCTGTTTTTTATCACAGGTTCAAAAGATTTTTCATATATAATAATTTTTAAAGACTTCCAAATTCAAAAATACACACACACCTTTAAAATAAATTAATGATTTTGAATCAATCATAATCACTCTGAAAATATTGATGTAATTTTAATCACTATTAAAAAATCATTGAAGATGTAAAACAATTCAAGTAATTATATCAGAACATTCTATGGCAGAAACTATATTATTAATGTTGTACTTGTCATTTGTGTAGATAACAATATAATTTAGTGGATAGATATGAGAAGATATCTCTGTTTAATGATGTACAGTATAAAAAGAATATTAGAATTCTAAATTCATATTAAACAGATATTTTAAGTAATGAGAAATATAAATTGATTCATCTTTTTATATTTCAGCCATGTTGATATTATGCTTTCTACAGTACATAAAAATAGAATTATTTGATAGTTAAAACTAGTATTGTTGTTATATTAATATATAAAATGGACCTTCATATCCAATTCTGTCTATAGTTTGAATTTTTCAAAATTATTAGGATAAAGCTTTTATTAGACATCATTAATCCTATTTATTGTGAAACCTCATTCCCTAAATTTTCAATTCTCTAGATATTATCAACCTCAAAAAGTGTTTTAATAATAATAGTAATAATTATATATGTACGTCAATTAGCTAAAAAAGGAAAAAGTGGAAACAAATATATATATGTTTCCACTTTTGTTTTTTTAGCTAATTGATTAGTAATATCACAGCTATTTTTTAAATTCATTCAGTCTTATGCCAATATAGCTTCTGAAACATTAATATTTGTATATTTGAATTAAAACATTATAAGTAATGATTTTATAACAAAAGTCAAACAGTTTGATTTTAAAATGTTTCAGTGTAACTTAACAGCAACAGTTTTTAAAATGCAAATGTCAACAAGTTTGTAAAATAAAAGATTAACATGATTACAATAGTAATTGAAAGAAAAATAAAGTAAAATAAGAGTAAGAATAAAATTAAAATAAAAGAAAGAAGATAAAAAAAAATAAGAATAAAAAATAAATATTTTACTTATTTATTTTCTGCCAATCCATTTGTGATAAGTTTAAATGTGAAAATTATCAAACTTGATTGTTAACAAAGCTCATTGTTCAGTTGAAATTGATGTAATATTGCATTACCTAAAGTGCTATTTAAAAGTTTAGTGTATTTATATTATTGCAAATATATATTCTAAACCCTTGATATCATTTAATAAATCATATTATGCTTTTAGAATTAACAATTATGTTTAATTTAGATGAGAAAGATGAAAGGCCAAACATGCTGAATGCTTTAGGACTTGTTAGAAAGAAATCATCCTCTCTTCCACCAGGTACATCAGTGTTCCATGATGAAAGCAGTCAAGATGTGATTTTGCCTTCAAGTGGTGATTTAAGTCAATCTGTGAGCCCAACTGAAAAAACTGATAGCAAAGTTCATCCAGTGGAACTATCAAAACAAAATGAGGACCAGTGTGATGCAAAAACTATAACAGAGGTTAATTTAAATGATTCCAAAAATGATAAAAGTCAATTACAAACACAGCCAACAGAAAATATCATCATTGCATCTTGACAGGCTTAATGGAATAAAGTTTTTAAAATAGAGTAAAAATTGTTTTCACTGTTTATAAAATTGTTCTATAACTATAATCTGCGTAATGTGATAATGTTGATATATATTAAAATACATAAAACTTTTTGTCTGTTTTTATTATTTTAGTGTGTAACAATTAGTGATAATTTTATACATTTTAAAATTAACTAGAATGAACATCATCAGTTACAAAATGTTAAAAGGTTAACATTTAAATATATTGTTGATTAAATAAAATTTTTAAACAAATATAGCCATTAGTTTCATCTATATCAGGATAATGACGACAGTAACTATATATATATTTTTTTTAAACAGTAAAATTTTGAGTATGTGAATTGATAACATTTTTGTAAATTTTCAAAAGTATTAAATATATATTGTAGGTTTTCAAATATATACAAATAAATATAATTTACAACATGTTTCTTTTTTATTGATATACATAATACTTTTAACATCAATTTGCTTTTAAAAAATATTTCAATTAATACAGTAGAGCCTCGATTATCCGACTCAATTAGGGACTGGGGTTGGTCGGATAATTGAAAAGTATGAAAAAATCCATTATTAGTGTAGTATATTATTATATCCCATGTAATTAGTATATTAGAATATTGCTATTAACCTACTTTGCGTTGAATTTTCATCGATGTTAAGCCTAACAAAAATTTTTTTAAATAATAATAGTCGCCATTGTATCGTTAAAAATTAGAAAATTAAGCCTCGTTTAAATACACGTGCGACTAAATATCCAGATGGCACAACGTGCTGATTGGTCGACTGAATGACGTCAACCTATTGGAAATGTTGATCAATTAGCCTAAACTTTGTAACAGTTTTGAGAGCGGACAGACGTTATAATTATAAACATTTCATCTAAAACTCGTTAAAAGGCACTTATTTATAATTTCACTAGCTCTTGTATGTATTGACATTAATGTTAAATCAGAAAAACACAACACTTTAATTTGCTGACAAATTTAATGAAAAAGCAAATGTTTTCAGCCAAATCTGTTGGCCATCATCAGGCTAAGAATATTCGAATATAAATAAAATAGAACAAAAATTTAAATACAAATAAAAATAACGAATGACATATATTTATACATTTAATTTATACATGTATAAATTAAATGTATAAATAACATATTAATGTTAAAATTATTGAAAAATTTTCAATTAAACTAAATTACGTGACATCAAAGATTTTAATGTTGAGAGAGTTTTAAACATCAAGAAGTAACTTTTATCTGTTTTTCATTTCAATAAAGCATTTTTGTACATTTACTACAATAATAAAATAATCAAAAACAACAAGTGTAAATTGCAAATTATGTTTTTTTTTTTACATTCTTTATTAGACAATACAGTATTTTTAAACTTACAAAAACTTGTATTTACTGTTTTATATATATTATACAACAGAATATGCTAAGTGGAAATGCAGATTAGTTAACAATTTAATATAATTTTCACCTAAACACAATTCATAGTTTTTAATGCATAATTGTTAAAACATTTTAAATAATAACTTATTTTTTCTACAAATTCTCTAATCCATTGGTTTGCTTTTCAAATCAAGTCCTGTGGAAACTTAAATATAGACACTAATCATCGCTAAACCCGATGTAATATAGCTAATCACCAAACATATGCCGTAAATCCATCGGGCTAGTTTTAAGGCTAATTAAAACATAGTTATACGCTGGAAGAGGAGATCGGATCGGAGGTCCGGATAGCGTAACTGGCAACGCATCTGCACAGTAAGTAGGAGTTGTGGGTTCGAGTCCCGCTCCGGGCCGATTTTTTCTCCCAGCGGTTCTAAATTATTTAAATTAATTAATTTATTTATAATTATTAATATTAATAAGAGATGGCGCCTAACGCTTACCTCTAGTGCCAAATTAATATAGACACTGAATATCATTTTGCTTTTTTTCCTATTATATTTTCCTACTTTATATACTTTATATTTTCCTACACAACACAAACAAAAATAGCTTACTATGAAAACATTACAGTACAAATGCAACATTACTTTTTCTTGGTACTTATATTGATAAACAATTTCCATGATGAAATGTGTGGAAATTCTTATTTAAAACATATTCAAAGGAATTTAAATACAGTATTATTGACTGTTAAATAATTTATACAAGAATTCTATACTTTTAATTTGAAAAATGGTCATACAAATTTGATTAAACATATTTACAGATATACTGTATCTATTATGAAATTTCTGTAAATTTGAAAAGTGTTGTTTCTTAACACAGATTTTGAACTGACATTCAAAAGCACAAAATATCTTTAATATATAAATGGCTTGCTTCAAATGTAAATCCGATGTACAGTACTATAAATGTACATTTACAATACACAAAATATCTATTGACAGAAAGAACTGTCAATCCTAACTAAAGCATTAAAAAAATTTTTTTGATGAGAGTAATCTATGGAGAATAGGCCTATTCTTTATTCAAAATTGTTCAACAACTTTTACATTTGAACTTTATAATTTGTTAAGCAAGATTTGTGAAAATTTCTCTTTCAGAGGTATACAAAACTTAGCTAATTTTATTGTTTCGTCTAACTATATTAAATGCTTGTGACAAATTCAAAGAATATTCTGACTCGTCTTAATTATAAATTTCATCCTTTCTTGACCATTTTATGAATAATATCTGTAACAAATTATAAATTTTCTGTTATTCATTATCTGTGCACGTATATTTAAATTTAAAACACTAATCGCACTATTAAAATTATCTATTGTGTATGATTTGGTTCAGAGGTACTGTACTGTACATAAAGATCAAGTACGAGGGCTGTTCGGAAAGTTCGCGGCCTGAAATAGAACAACAAACAAAATAATGTTAAAACTTTTTTATTTTTCATTGTAGTCTTCTTTGTTAGCAATGCACTTATTTCAGCGATGTTCTAGCTTTTTTATGCCATTACAATAGGTCGATTTGTCAAGGTGTGCAAAATACTCGTTTACTTCAGAGATGACTTTGTCATTTGAGTGGAATCTCTTTCCAACCAAGAATTATTTTAAATTTGGAAAAAGGTGGAAGTCACTGGGGCCAAATCAGGTGAGTACAGTGAATGTGGAACTAATTTTTGGAAGTTAAGTTCGTTTATTTTTTGTTCAGTGATTCTGGCATTATCGTGGTGAAACAGAACCTTCTTCTTCAAGTGTGGCCTCTTCGATTTCTTTCTTCAGTTTTTCCAAAAGTATACAGTAATAGACAGCATTGATGGTCTTTCCTCTTTCTAGGTAGTCAATAAAGATGATTCCTTTAGCATCCCCAAAAAACCGAGGCCATCACTTTCCCCGCTGATGGAACTGTTTTTGCCTTCTTTGGTGGTGGCGAACTGGGGTGTTTCCATTGCTTCGACTGTTCTTTTGTTTCAGGAGTGTAGTAATGGATCCACGTTTCGTCAGTAGTCACAAACCGACGCAAGAAATCCCGTGGGTTTTTCTTGTAGAAGTCCAAACACTTCTTTGACATCAAAGTGCGAACACGTCTTTGCTCAGCGGTCAGCAGATGCGGCACCCAACTTGCTGAGACCTTCGTCATACCCAAATTTTCGGTTAGATGTGGTGCACTCGGTCGACAGAGATGCCTGTTGTCTCAGCTATCTCACGCGTTTTCAAACGGCGATCTGCTAACACCAAATCGTAAACTTTGTCGATATTTTTTTCAGTGACAGCAGTTGACGGCCGTCCGCTGCGAGGGTCATGTTTCACTCTCTCTCTGCCAGATTTAAAAAGGGCTGTCCATTTTTTCACAGTGGTTTACGAAGAAGCAGACTCTCCCAAAACTTCATCCATGTCAGCTTTGATTTGAGATGCAATCAACCCTTTTTTCGTCAGGTATTTTATGACCGCACGAGTCTCCATCTCCATTTTTGACAAAGCATGTGCACATTGACTATCTGCTAAGCTGTCGTGGCAAAACTTTACAACAAATCAAGCGGGAATTGGTATCGTATCTTTAGCAAGGCTGAATTATTCCCGCCAAAAATTAAATTGATCGCAGCGCCGCATATAGGCAAGGCCGCGAACTTTTCGAACAGCCCTCGTATGAAGTTAAAAATTTGTTCAAAAAAATAAATAATCTTAGTAATTTATTAAGTAAAAGTAAACCGTTTTAAAATTATTCCTATAAATTTACGAAAACATGCGAGCTAAACTTTATACTGTATTTTCGCTTTATACTCACTCAATATTACAATTTAAAAATAATAATCTATTTCTGCGTGACTTCGTTCTGACTACCACAAAATATCGACCAGCATTTCCTATTTCGGTGGGTTGACGTCATTCAGCCGACCAATCAGCGCGTTGTGCCATCTGGCTCCCTTTCATGGTCGAATGAGTATTGCCAGCTAAAACACGTAAAAATAATATTAAAGTAGCCAGACATAAGCCAAATATTGTAGCGCTACATCACTAGCGGACATTTGAAATTTGCCGACTAGGACGGTCGGATAATCGAGGCTCTACTGTACAGTACATCAATTAAATGAAGTTGTGTCCTGAGATTGTTGAAGAAGGACAGGATATAAAGACATTTTATTGTTTCTTCTGATATGTGAATATTTTTTATACAATAAAACCTGCATAAATCAGAATTGCATGGTTCTGAATATTTTTTTCCAGTTTGCCAGTTTGAACAGGTTTTTTTTTAATATAGAAAATTGCACCATTCTGAAAATACTTTTTCATTTAGGCAGGTTTTTCTGTATCAATATAAAACTGATATAGTAATATTGATGTTAAATACAGTGACAAATTCTTTTGCAAAACATTGCAAGAGATCAATCACTCTTGCTGTGCCCAGTTGAATGGACAAATCTGACTTAATATTTCTCTACAGTAATTACATAATTTGAAAAATGAATCACTGTAAATCATTTAGAATTAAACATCCTAAACGATTCTCACTGATTCCTTTTGAGTTTCCATCCTTATTAAAGTGTTCTTTTGCAAATTTTAATTTTTTTTATCATTGCCCTATAGGTAGTAAGAAGGCCCTTTTAGCAAGCCCATTGTGGGTTTGGTTAGGTGATGAGGGACATGGCCAAACATCCAGATATGCCATTCCCCAAAAAATTCCTGGGATTTTCCAATCCCTCCAGATTTGATCCCAATAGCAGAGCTTCTATCTTTATCACTTGACCATCCAGACATCTACACATTTTAATTTTAACACTATATATATAGTGTTAAAATTATAGAATATAACTAAATAGATATGATAATCAGAAAAAATGAAATAAGTCTGTAGGAGCTAGGATGGCCTAACTGACACCAGTTGTGAGGTTCGTCTGGCCTTTAGGACATTATCAAAATTACCCTCTCAATGACTAAGCACATCAAACAATACCTTTACTATCTAGAAAACAATTTTAATGTGAAATTTGACAAAACATTTTTGATCTTACACAAGATCAGCATCAGGTCAACAATATTCTAAATTGGAATATAAATAATCAATTTCAAAAAGTTTTTATATAATTGGAACAAAAATACAAAATGCTTAGTTGACCTAATGTACTGTATACCAGATCTCTTTGGAACCTGCTGTCCATCAAATGGAATGCTGTATACCCCTGGAGCCCTACGTTTATTGGTCTTGTCTTTTCCATTACAGAGTAACCTATACAATGTGGAAATTCGCTTATAGACTAACTTGGTACCTGTATTATCAGCTGTTTCTTTGTACAATGTATGTAAATTATGGTCATACTCCACTACAGTGCACAGCAGTGGCGTGCCGTCATTAGAAGCGGTGGAAGCGCCGCTTCCCTTGTATTTTATAAAAAAATAAATACATATTAATTTCAATTATATGAAAATAATCGCACAATATTTTATTATAACCGCATTATGTATTTTATTACAAATTTCTATACTACACGTGAAAAAAAAATATTTCTATTGTATATTCGAATATTAGTGGCGGAGTGGAATCTCTGTATTGTCAGATTTGCGCACGCGCTTTACAGAGCACCGACCTCACCCGGTTTAGCCAGTGGAAGGCTACGACCTTGAGTTGATGCTACACATTCCAACGCTTCCAATTCTATCCGGGACCGGTTCCGGGCTGTTAGCCGCCCGCCCACTAGATATTTCGATTACGTGAATAACGAGTAGATTTATAACTTAACCCAACCGATAAGAATTTATTGGTATGTTTTTACGATAGTTCCGTATAGTTGAGAGGAGTTTAAAAAATCCGTTAAAATATTTGATATATTTATTCCGCTCTCCGATTTTATATTACTCATGGATTTCAATGTTAAACCAGTGATATTACGATTTCGTATGTCCCATCTTTAAGGGGATGTAGAAAAAATTGTGTACAATTCTTGTATAATGTTAAAAAAATTAACCGTTACTTCGACAGCGTCATTTACAAGTAAATTTAATGAATGAGAGAGATGCACGAGGTAGAGAAAAAGCTCTAGAATTTATTTTCCTTAAATTTACGATTTATGTATTCGTTGTCATAAAAATTTGTCTTTCCACTTTTTTCCCGAGACTACAAATATTCGAGTACAAAGTAACTGGTTTCGACTTATTTCTACTTAAGAAGTAGTTAAATAATTAAGCGATTGGGGAATTGGGGACATAAACAAAACCCTGACGAAAGAGCCGGAATATTATTTAAACAAAAGCTTAACCGAACCAATCTATAGCCGAGTACAGTGGGGACTGACTTCTTCGAAATACTGTATTAGATGTAATAAAGACAGAAATTTTTCCAATTCGACGAGAGTGACCGAAAAGTTGTAAATTTTGGAAAATTTCCGTGGACAGCACCTGGTCCTAAAACGAATTAGTTAGAAAACAAAAGACGAACAATCTATTAAGTTTAACGTATTTAGATTTTTACAGCTATGATGAGAAACGTTTAAAATTTACAACAACCCTGTCGCGTCNCCGAAAAGTTGTAAATTTTGGAAAATTTCCGTGGACAGCACCTGGTCCTAAAACGAATTAGTTAGAAAACAAAAGACGAACAATCTATTAAGTTTAACGTATTTAGATTTTTACAGCTATGATGAGAAACGTTTAAAATTTACAACAATCCTGTCGCGTCTTTTGAGATATACCAGTGATGAGACAAAAGAGACATTAACCGGTATCGGCACCCTCGGGATTTGTCATGCATGCACGCAACGCACACCTACCAAGATCGTCTCTGATTCCATCCACGAGTCACTGATAGGGAGCAATTTTAACTAGGTGGATTGTTTTAATATTTAAAAAGTAACGAATATCTTATGCTATTTTTATGTACTTTTCTTCACAAAACTATATTCATACAATCGAATATTTTGTACCAGGTATGTATAATTGTATATCCATCACACATTTTATTTTAACAAGTAAGTTTTTATAATTTTATTTTTAATTTTAGCCCTTATATTATAGCTAGCAATTTAGAATGTAATTGTGATATTGAAAATTTATTTCAAAAAGTTTTGGCTCGAGACCATATAATGAAAAAGAAAAAATTTGTTCGACATTTTCATGATAAAATTTATGAAGATATAAAATGGCTTTGTGGATGCATAAAAATGCAAAATTTGTTTTGTTGGCCTTGCCTACTATTTTCAAATAAAATTAGTGTGTAGAATGAGATTGGCTTTGACGATTTAAATAATTTGAGTAAAGCTGGCAAAAGACACGAAAATCCTAAATCTCGCATCGATTCTT